CCCTGACCAAACTGCAACAACAACAACAAAAATAGCTGGGCGTTGTGGTGGGCACCTGTAGTCCCAGCTACTTGGGAGGCTGAGGCAAGAGAATCGCCTAATGCCCAAGAGCTGGAGGTTGCTGTGAGCTGTGATGCCATAGCACAATATCGAGGGCGACAAAATGAGACTGTCTCTGAAAAAAAAAAGGAAAAAAAAGCCTTTGTAGTATCTCTGATGTATGCCATCCTCGGTGATAAATAAGCCCCTTTCACATCCAAAGCAAGAGCTATCTTTGATCAGTAGTTCTCAGCCTTCCATGTTCTCCAGATAGTTTGTTAAAATGTAGACACTTTGGCTACTTTTCAAAAAATTTGGATTCATAGATTTGGGTGTGACACAAAGAAACACCTTTTTTCTTTCTTTTTTTTTTTCTTTTGAGACAGAATCTCAAGCTGTCGGCCTAGGTAGAGTGCCATGGCATCACAGCTCTCAGCAACCTCAAACTCTCTTGCGCTTAAGCGATTCTCTTGCCTCAGCCTCCCAAGTAGCTGGGACTACAGGTGCCCACCACAACGCCAGCTATTCCTTTGTTGTAGTTATCACTGTTGCTTAGCGGGCCGGGCTGGATTGGAACCCACTAGCTCCGACATATGTAGCTGATGCTCTAGCCGCTTGAGATCCAGGCGCTGAGCCTAGATATGCATTTTAAAGTCCCCCTCCCCTATGGGATTTATTCTTCTTTTTCTTTTTGAGACAGAACCTCACTCTGTTGCCCCAGGCTAAAGTACTATGGCATCATAGCTCAAAGCAACCTCAAACTCCTGGGCTCAAGCGATCCTCCTTCCTCAGCCCCCCAAGTAGCTAGGACTATAGGTGTGTTCCATAACACCTGACTAATGTTTCTATTTTTAGTAGAGATGGAATCTCATTCTTTATTTTTTATGTATTTTTTTTTGAGACAGCGTCTCACTTTGTCACCCTCGATAGAGTGCTGTGGCGTCTAATAGCTTACAGCAACCTACAGCTCTTGGGAACAGGCGATTCTCTTGCCTCAGCCTCCTGAGTAGCGGGGACTACAGGCACCTGCCACAACACCCGGCTATTTTTGTTGCAGTTTGGCCAGGACCGGGTTTGAATCCACCACCCTCGTTATACGGGGCTGGAGCCCTACCCTCTGAGCCACAGGTGCCGCCCGGGATCTCGTTCTTGCTTAGGCTGATCTCCAACTCCTGAGCTTAAGTGATCTCCCTGCCTTGGCCTCGCAAAGTGCTAGGATTATGAACTTGAGCTACTGTGCCGTATGTGAGCCATCATGCCTGGCCCCCTATGCAATTCTGATTCAGGTGATCCTGGCACTTCACCTTGAGAAACACCTGTTCTTAGCTAAGAACAATGTAATGAGTGACACTATTA